TATATAGGCATACTACACATAATTCTGTATATAATAACCTAAGTATACATAATCTTAATCTGGTATATACCTCTACATAAGGCTCTATTATTGCCAAACCATTCGATCTTCCTTAGACGGATACAATAATTCGCCTGCAAAATCGAGACCACCCATGGGACCTGAAAATTTGGGGTGGTCTCGGGGTTGGTCTCCACTTAGAGGGCTAGCTTTGTGTTAAAAGGTTAAAGATTGTTATTTTGGTCTTTGGAAATGTAGTCTCGAATTAGAGGGGTCTCGGAATTATAGAGGGGTCTCGAATTGGAGGGTGCACTGTATACAGTTTACACAAAAGACCATGAGCAATATGAACATATAGAATAGGCCAATCAGGCCAGGGTTCCTAGTATTGTAGTCGGCCTTCCTGAAATATAGCTCGTTTAAAGCTATTTTTGTCTATAATGGAAATTTACAACATAACATCTGACTCATGTAGGCGTAGGCCATCATTGGGAATTATTTACGTGTTATAATGCAACAATCAATCCTGTGTACTGATTATTTAATCTATATTCATTAAAAAATAATGATATCGCTTAATCACATGTATGGTCGAACAAAAATATGGCATATAACTTTGTTATAGAACTATGATTAGGGCGAATTGATTTTCCTGTCTCCTTTACGGATCGTAGGGAATCCAGTCATTGCTGGAAATTCCCGAGAAAAGATAGGTTACTTTATTGTCTCTCACAAAGTCGAATGCATTAAATTTTTCGTCTTAACCAACACACTGACGTTTAAATTTTGGGAATCCGAACCATGGAATTAGGTTTAAAATTAGCATTAGATATTGTATTTCGAATAAGCATCTTCTAACCAGGGGTGGCGCCAGGATTTGCCCGACGGGGGGGGGGGGGGGGAGGGCCTCCGAGCGGGGCCGACGCCCACGTCGAAGTTAGATTTCCCCGACGAAATCAAAGTGGGCGTGGACGAGCTTCGATTAAAAGGCTTCGGAAGTGGTCCATGTGGCGAACCCCGAAAATTTTGACAATTTAGGGGTTTCAAAGGCTTACTGTATTTAATCGATTTTAGAGTCTACTAATGTGTAGAAAATACACATAATTTTGTTTTCTCCCCGACGAATTGTGCTTTTTCTCCCTGACCGCTGGGGGAGGGGAGGGGGTAGCAGAATGAAACAAATAATTTAGTGGCATTGTCAACCGCAATATTCATTTCCTGTTAATTAAAACCATAATTTATTTATAGTTACCTATATCAGCCAATCTAATGTCAAGTATCATAGGTGCTATCATCATTACAGAACTCCTGTAGGACAAAATTATTCATTTCCTGTTAATTGAAACCATAATATATTTATAGTTACCTATACCAGCCAATCTAATGTCAAGTATCATAGGAGCTATCATCACTACAGAACTCCTGTAGGGCAAAATTCATCTCATTAATTGGAATATTGCATACAGTAGGTAAGTAAGCTGTTACTTAAGCTATCATCACTACAGAACTCCTGTAGGACAAAATTATTCATTTCCTGTTAATTGAAACCATAATTTATTATATATAGTTACCTATACCAGCCAATCTAATGTCAAGTATCATAGGAGCTATCATCACTACAGAACTCCTGTAGGACAAAATTCATCTCATTGATTGGAATATTGCATACAGTAGGTAAGTAAGCTGTTACTTAATTCTAAACTCAAACACCATCTTATTTAACAATAATAATATCACTTAAAAGTCCACGCTAGTGTTGTAAAGAAAGATAAATGGAATTTTGATAATTAAAATAAAAGTAAATATTTCTTTGGCTATAGTATTAGATTTAATTAATGATATAATGTAT